AACAGCGGTGAGTGCTGGGTGCTTCCCACGTTACTTAGAGGAAGAAAGAAAGCATTAGTGCCGCACCCTAACCCACTTTCATACTTACACACGCACAACCCAAGGCTGACCAAGCCTGGGTGTAACGTAAGAAGAAGAGGGGGAAGGGTGGACGAGAGTTTTGTCCTGTGCACAGGCCGTCAAGGGTCCGCTGTTGATCTCTGATTTGCTTTAGCTTTTAGGAGGGTTTTATGTCCTGGGGGGGTTTTGGGGGCGATTTGTTTAGGGACCTCTGTCCCCCGTGCTTTTTGTACCAGTTCAAACCAGCCTTTTGTGCCTTTCTTAGCTTTTCCAAAACACACCGGCTTTAGGGACGTGAAACTGTTGTTTTCCCCCTTGCTGGTCTTCACTGTCTCACTAGTTTTCGCAGCCCCTGCAGTTCTGTTTAGCTGAATTCTTTTTTTTTACGGCTGTTTGAGGTTGGAATCCAGGGCCCCATCTTTCTTGGCGGGCAGCCGAGAGTCGGTTGTGTGCCGTGACCTTGGGCTGGAGTTAGTGTCTTATCTTCGGACCTAGGTGGAGCATCGAGTTAACCGATTTCCTTCTCCCTTCCTCCCTCTATGGCCTCTTGTAACCTGTAAAGAAACTTTTTCCTCTACACTTTCACCTTCAGCCCTTCCCACAATACACTTCAGGACATATACAAGCGCTAGCAACATACAATGCTAAACTGCTTACCCAGGGGTCCCCACTGGGGGGTGGGGCAGTTATATTGTGACAGTGGGACAAGAAGCAATGGGCTTAATCTGTAGCAAGAGAGATTTAGGTTAGATATTAGGAAAAACTTTCTAACTATAAAGGAAGTTAAGCTCTGGAATAGGGTTCCAAGGGAGGTTGTGGAATCCCCATCACTGGAGGTTTTTAAGAACAGATTGGACAAACACCTGTCGGGGATGGTCTAGATTTACTTGGTCCTGCCTCAGTGCAGAGGGTTGGACTTGATGACTTCTTAGGGTCCCTTCCAGCCCTACGTTTCCATGATTCTATGATTAAGACCTTTCCACTTGAGAAAAGTGTGAGGGATTTTTAATGACCACAAATGGTCCAGGCTTTTGGTTCATGCCTCATATGAAAGAAAAGGCAAAACCATGAGCTGAGACTCTGACTTTCTCTGACACCGTATGGAGACCCCACTTGAGTTCCAGTAAGAAGGGATTTTGTTCCCTCCTTAGATTTCACGCAGTAATGAATAAAGCTGGGCAAAAAACATTTCAGTGAATAGTAAATTTACCAAAAAATAATTTTTTTCCGGGCACTGAAACTATTCACCAACTATGAATTTGGCAAATAGTTTCAGCAGAAAAAAAATTGAACATTTTTTTCCCAAAAAGAAAATCCATTTTGAAAAGAAACATTTTAACTTTTCGTTTTGAAACATTACATTTTGAAATTTAGCTATCTTTATTTTTTAAAAATCTAAAAAACAATAACAAGGGATAAAAACTCCCCAAACAAAAAACTGAATAAATTAAATTTTGGATCAGAAAACACCCCAAAAATGAAATGAAACAAAAAAAAACAACAAAATGTTGTTTAATTCTAGTTTTTCATTTCAGGGAATTTTTATCTAAAACTTTTTTTTTCTTCATTTTACTTTTGGTGAAGAAAATCTCAAAAATATCAGTTTTAGTTCAAAACAAATGGAATTTTTTTTATTATTGGTTTGGTTTGGCCCTCAAACCGACAAATTGAGTATTTGGTCAGCCCTCCTTCATTACTAGAGCTGGAGACAGAAAGCCCAATTAGGCACTGAGAGGGAATGCAGAAACCTGTAAAATCAGCCATCTATGGTGCTACTCGGAAGCATAGCTCTTTGAGACAGCAAAGTCCACTTGGAGACAGCAGAGTTCCATACTTAATTATTACAGGATTAGTCTATTTATTTTCATTTGTGTATTGTAGCCAGCGTACTCTGAAACTTCCAGGAGGTAAATATGCTGAAGGAAGGAGATCCCTGCTCAGGGAGACAAGAAGCCCAGGTGGCTGCCCCCTGCTCCTGGCAGAGAGCAGGGAGGTGAGAAATGCAGGTGGCGATCCCTTGCTCCTGGCGGGGAGGCGAGAAGCCCAGGGGAGCAGGTGGGCTCCCAGAGGGGAGCTGTGCAGAGCTGAGAGCTCTCAGCCCCCCACAATGCCCCTCTTCAGTTGGTGAGGACACACACCACCAATCGAAGGAGGGTAGTGTGGACATCAGCCACGGCAGGCTGTAAATGACCGAACATAGGTTGACTTCAGTTTGTAGTGTAGACATCCCCTAAAACACTCTGGCTGAAAAAGTGAATACACACACACAGTGTAAAGAGAGACCGCCCATTTATTTATTTCAAATGTTTGTGCATTCAACCCCAGACATCATCTATCTTCATTCACTTATTCTGGTGTCTTGTTTTAAAGATGCTGTGACAGAGTTAAGCAAAGAATTTCAAGAAGGAGGGGAACCAATCACCGATGACAGCATCAGTTTGCAAAAGTTTTCCTACAAGCTTGAGTACCTTTTACAGGTAAGTGACACAATCACATGTAGGACCCTCCCAAATTCATGGTCCATTTTGGTTAATTTCACCATCATAGGATTTAAAAAATCATACATTTAATTATTTCAGATATTTAAATCTGAAATCTCCCAGTGTTGTAAATGTAGGGGTCCTGACCCAAAATGGGTTGTGGGGGGTCACTAGATTATTGTAGGGAGGGTTGTGGTATTGCCACCCTTACTTCTGTGCTGCTGCTGGTGGTGGTGCTGCCTTCAGAGCTGGTTGGCTGCAGAGCGTCGGCTGCTGGCCTGAAGCCCAGCTCTGAAGGCAGCACCGCTGCCAGTAGCAGTGGAGCAGAAGCAATACCATATCATGCCACCCTTACTGCTGCTGGCGAGGTGCTGCCTTCAGAGCCGGGTGCCCAGCTAGCAGCCACTGCTCTCTGGCCACCCAGCTCTAAAGGCAGCGCAGAAGTAATGATGGCAATACTGCAAGCCCCCTATAATAATCTTGCAGACCCCTTTTGGGTCGGGACCTCCAGTTTGAGAAATGTTGGTGTCCTCTGTGAAATCTGTATAGTACAGGGTAAAAGTACACAAAAGACCAGATTTCCCGGTCTGTGACGTGTTTTTCATGGCCATGAATTTAATAGAGCCCTAATCATATGGGAGAACTGGACTTTCCTTTATATTGTTCTTTTACATTTAAGGTTCAGTATTGAATCTAGCTATTAATAAAAAAATCAGAATGTATTAGAACTAAGTACAGTACAGACCTCTTTCCTTTTAGTTGTTGGGCTCCCGTGTGTCAATACTTATTGCACCTATTACAATAGAAAGTAAATATGCATATATGAAAAAGCAGTGTATCATAACTAGTAGGTTGCTTTTGAGAACACAAGGAATTTTGCATTGTATGGGGAGCTTTTATAACTTGACTTTGAAATATGCCATTTTACATTATCACAGAAACTCTTTGGTAATAAGAATGATGACTTGTTTTAAGGGGAAAAAAAGTATTTCATAAATATAATTACCTGTATAATATATAGGTTTTTGCCAGCAAAAACATGACTTTGCTATGAAAAATAGTTTTATAACATTGAAAATATAATACAAAGAGTAAGCTTTTTTAATTGAAATGTCTGGGGTTTTTTTATCCTTGATCAAAAACCAAGTAAAAAGGGAAAGTTACTTTGCTGTGAATACCTTCAGTCTAGTTAGAGAGACAAGATGGGTGAGGTAATATCTCTTATTGGACCAATTTCTGTTGGTGAGAGAGACATGCTGAAGAGCTCTGTGTGGCTTGAAAGCTTGTTTCTCTCACCAACAGAAGTTGGTCCAATAAAAGATACTACCTCACCCACCTTGTCTCTCTAATATCCTGGTATCGACACAGCTACAACTATACTCCAGTCTGCTTAGTCATTTTGTGAGTCCTTGGCTCACAGTTCTCCACTCCATGAGATCTGGATTCATTTCATGATTCTGTAAATGGCTCACTCTGTCTTCGGGAAAGTCACTGAATCAGTCCGTTCCTCAGTTGGTCTGTAAAATGGGGATACCCACTTTTTGTAAAGCATTTTGTGATCTATGTTGAGTTCATTGTAAGCTGTATGGATTTATGTACCTATTTTTCAGTACCTTATCTTCAATGTATTGACCTACATTTGTGCAATGTATTAGTATTGAGAATGCTGTAAATCCCAGTGATCAATTTAGGAGTTCTGAATAGATTTGAATGGCTATTCTTTAATTAAGCTGATTATTTAAATTAGGGCTGTCAATCGCAGTTAACTCGAGCAATTAACTCAAAACAAATTAACTTGATTACAAAAATTAATTGCAGTTTTAATTGCACTGTTAAACAATAATAGAATACCAATAGAAATGTATTATATATATTTTTGGATGTTTTTCTACATTTTCAAATATACTGATTTCAATTATGGCACAGAATACAAAGTGTACAGTGCTAACTTTATATTATTATTTTTATTGCAAATATTTGCACTGTAAAAAAGAAACAAAAGAAATAGTATTTTTCAATTCACTTCATACAAGTACTGTGTGCAATCTCTTTATCATGAAAGTGCAACTTACAAATGTAGATTTTTTTGTTACATAAATGTACTCAAAAACAAAACAATGAAAACCTTTAGAGCCTACAAGTCCACTCAGTCCTACTTCTTGTTCAGCCAATTGCTAAGACAAACAAGTTTGTTTACATTTACTGGAGAGAATGCTGCCCACTTCTTATTTACAATGTCACCTGAAAGTGAGAACAGGCATTCGCATGGCATTTTTATAGCTGGCATTGCAAGGTATTTACATGTCAGATATGCTAAACCAGGGGTTGGCAACCTACGGCACGCGTGCCAAACACGGCACGCGAGCCGATTTTGAATGGCACGCGGCTGCCTGCCGCGGTTCCGACCCCCAGCCGCACTCAGCCCCCCCGCCCACCTCTCTCCCCTGCTGGGGCAGGAGGCAGAAGCTCCGTCCTGCAGCAGCCAAGCTCCCTCCCTCCTTTCCCCAGCCGTGGTGCAGCCTGCTTTCCTGCCCCTCCTCCTCTCCTTCCCTGCGCCGACCCTTGCAAAGGGAGGGGGGAGGAATGGCAGCGTGCTCGCTGCTCTGCAAAAGCCCCGCAGCCCCGCTCTCCCGGCCGGAGCTCCAGCCGGCGCGCGGCAGCTCCTTGCTAAAGCTGGCCCTGGGTAAAGGAGGCAGAGAAGAGGTAGGGACGGGCCTTGGGGCAGGGGGTGGAACAGGACATATCCCTTCCAGCCCCCTGCCATGAGCCGCTCAGGGCAGAGGGCAGGGGGCTGGGAGCACCCCCACGAGCCGAGCACCCCAGCCCTCTGCCCTGAACCTCCCCCACACCCAGCCTTCTGCCCTGCACCTCCACACACACCCCAGCCCTCTGCCCTCGACCCACCCCACCCCAGCCTTCTGCCCTGCACCCCCCACACCCGCAGACCTCTGCCCTGACCTCTGAAGCCCCCCACACCCCCCCAGCCTTCTGCCCTGCACCTCCACACACCCCCAGCCCTCTGCCCTGACCTCTGAATCCCCCCCACACCCACCCTTCTGGGGGGTGTGGGGGGGCTTCAGAGGTCAGGCCCCACTCAGCCCGCTGCCGGCCTAGGTGAACAGAACGCCAGGCTGGCAGCGGGCTGAGCAGGCTGGCGGCGTAAGATCAGCCTTTTAATTTAATTTTAAATGAAGCTTCTTAAATATTTTGAAAACCTTGTTTACTTTACACACAACAATAGTTTAGTTATATATTATAGACTTATAGAGAGAGACCACCTAAAAAACGTTAAAATGTATTACCGGCACGCGAAACTTTAAATTAAAGTAAATAAATGAAGACTCGGCACACCACTTCTGAAAGGTTGCCTACCCCTCGTCTAGATAATACTTAGTTGTGCCATGAGTGCAGGGCACTGGACTAATGACCTCTCAAGGTCCCTTCCAGCCCTACACTTCTATGATTCTATCATGTAGTGGCTGTGTGATGGGTTGCCCCCCCACCCCGGGGTGCCACCCAGGGCCGTCCTTAGCCATAGGCAGAACAGGCAGCCGCCTAGGGCACCACGCTACCTGGGGGCACCGCTCTGC